AAAGAAAGTGAAAGACAGCAAAGTAACACTATGCTGTCTTTGTTCTAGACGTTTATTTTTAATCCTCGCTGGAGGAGGATGCCCCTCTGAAACTCAACCATGAGATTTTAGGAAAAGAAGGCAGGCCGCGATCACATAAATACAAAAACAGACTAAACTATTGAGTAACATCGACTTTGGTTACTCAGGAAAAATTGTTTAGCTTTAAAAGAAAATCTAACTAAATTCTGATTGTTTCCTGCACTTACACGAGGGAAAATAAGAATTTAACACGTCTGCACTTTCAGCAGTAAGGGTTTCTCTAAGTGAGCTATCGACACAACATTTCCACCACGTGCTGATATCAACTCAAGTTTTTATTTCATGCTGAGACATCTAAACATTCTGGTCCACAACTTGAGTTATGAGTAATAAAGCAAAAAGACACTGAGAAAAATTATTAAACACACGAAGACAACAAGATGCAAAAGGGCGGCTTGCCAACTCCGGGTCGGGAGAGAGGTTTCAAGTGGAGGAGTTCAAGTATCTCGGTGTCTTGTTCACGAGTGAGGGAAGGAGTGAGCGGGAGATCGACAGACGGAATGGGGCAGCGTCTGCAGTGATGCGGATGCTGAACCGGTCTGTTGTGGTGAAGAAGGAGCTGAGCCGGAAAGCAAGGCTCTCGATTTACCAGTAGATCTACCGCCCTGTCCTCACCTGGTCATGAGCTTTGGGTAATGACCAAAAGAACAAGATCGCGGATACAAGCGACCAAAATAAGTTTTCTCCGTAGGGTGACTGGGCTCAGCCTTAAGGATAGGGTGAGGAGCTTGGACATTCTGGAGAAACTCGGAGCAGAGCTGCTGCTCCTCCACATTGAGAGGAGCCGGCCACGATCAGGTGCTCCACGTAAGATTCTTGTCCAAGGAGTCCAAAGAATAATTAGGAGAGTTCTCCAAGAGCCAAGAACCACTCTGACAGAACTTCAGGTAGACCTTGCATCAGCAGGTACTTTTGTTTCAAAGAAAACTATAAGCCATGCACTGCACTGCTATGGCCTCCACGCTCACCAGACAAGCCTCCACTGCTGAAAAACAAGCATATTGAGGCTCGGTTAAAGATTGTGAAACAGCATCTGGAGAAGCTTGTGGATTACTGGAAGACTATAGTTTGGCCAGATGAAACCAAAACTGAACTCTTTAGCTGTCATTCTACACATCATGTCTGGAGAAGAAATGGCACTGCCCAACACCCCAAGAACACCATACCAACAATTAGGTTTGGGGGTGGAAGCATGATGGCGTGGGGCTGCTTTACAGCACAGGGTACTAGCAGACTTCATTTCATTGAAAGCAGAACGAATGGAGAAATGTACCGAGACATTCTAGATGAAAAATCTGCCAGCTACCAGAAAGAGAAAATGAAAAGAGAGTGGACATTTCAGCAAGGTGATGATCCCAAACACAAGGGCAAGGAAACATGGAACTGGTTTCAAAGAAGGAACATCAAGTTGCTTAAATGGCCCAGATCAAAGTTCATAAGAGGCCCCAAGAAACCTTCAAGAGTTAAAGAGTTTGTGTGGAAGGATGGGCCAGAATCGCGCCTGAGCAATGCAGACGACTGGTCTCTCCATACAAGAAGTGTCTAGCAACTGTAATCACCAGCGAAGGCTTTTCTACAAAGTTTTAAATAAAGTGTGTTCAGTACTTATTCCCTGGGTCGTTTCACTTTAATGACTCTACACACCACGTACACACATTAGCCCACTTAGAAGAACCCTTACTGATAAATGCTAATGTGGCAAACACTTATTCTCCCTGCTGTAACTTCAAACGCCCAAAACTAATATGACGATACAATAAAATAAAAAAATGCTTCCAGCTGGAATTATACAGTGATCCAGATATAAACAAGGATGTGAGTTATTACACACACACACACACACACACACACACACACACACACACACACACACACACACACACACACACACACACACACACACACACACACACACATATATATATATTTATTTATTTTATTTTTGTTTTTGTCTGATCCAGGTCTGCTGATGAAAGCAGGTAAAAGTGTGACGAGGTTTCAGGGTGTTGCAGGTACCTCGGTGGTTACCTCGTTAGCCAGCAACAAGTGGGCGTACTGGCCCAGAAAGTGAGGAGAGAAGCAACAGTACAAGTCAACACATGTGATGTCATCACAATTAAACAGGTGAAAACAGAAAAGCAACAGCACAGGCATCCAACCAAGTTAAAGTAAATTTAGTTTTAAAAAGAGAAACTAGGAAGGTTTTATTTTTGACATAATTCCTTTAAAACTTCCACCTAAAATATTTACAATATTTAGAGACTCCAATAAGTGTGAACCATAAAATAAAACCAAATGCCTTATTCTCCTGTACTCAGCTTTTATTTTGAAATTGGTGACTAAAACACACAGAAATATCAGAAAACCCCGGCCTGTTTCACTCTGGATTCCTGCATCAGCGGGGATTTCTCTCCTGATGTTTTGTTGTTGCAGCATTAGCACACACCAACAGACCATGAATGCAGGCATTCAGTTGTTTTTATGGTGTCTGATAAGAGCTGCAGGTGGAGTTAATGCACCAGGAACAAATGCAAACTGAGATTTATGATCTGATACTGACTGCACACATTTAAAAATCCAGATTTTTTAATTTAAGTTGTACCATTGCTGTTTATTAAAAACAACCCAAAAAATACATATTTTCATTCCTGTCTTAAATTTGAAAGACCTACGCTGTTGTCTTCCATTTTCTCCTTCCTCTTTATCTTGTGTGTTTCGTAGTCCTCCAGCATCGTCTGCATGAAGTTTTTAGGCCGTGATCCTCCGGAGTCCTCGCTGCCAGCATCAGACAGGGCGCCTTCAGAGGGGGACGGGGAGACAGGTGGTGCAGGGCGAACTTTCTCAATCTTCCCTGCAAAACAAAACAAACCCTAATTTTCTGTGCCTTCTGCATCCTGACTGGAGCAGCTGGGCTGAGCCAGTCGCTGTGTGAACGTACCTGGAGCTGTCCGTGTCGTCAGGGTGAGTTTAGCTGGCAGGCTGTTGCTCTTCATCCTGTCTGCTGGAGAAATGGTCGGCCTCACTCCGGCTCTTACTTGTCCATGGCTGCTGGGTCGGACGACCACGGCGGGCTGCATCTCCCTCTGCTTCTTCAGCTCCTCCTCCCTCTGCTGAGCCGCTCGGATCTCTTCCTCTATCATGGACAACGTTTTCTGCTTCCTGGAGCGCAGGCGGAATGGACCGCTGGCTGCCTCCACCTCCGGGCCTCGAGCTGCTGCTGCTGTGCTGCGTAGTTCGGCCGCCTCTGAGTATTTGCTGAAGTAGCTGAACTCTGGTTTCTCTGGGCTTGGAGGAGAAGGAGGACGGTAGACTGGGGCTGGCCTGGGGACGGGAGCTAATGTGGTGGGGGCGGGAGGTGGAGTGGGAGCCGAAGAGGCGAGGGCCCGGGTGTAGGAAGACTGAATTTTGATCCTCGGGCCTCCATTTCTGGGTCTCTGAGGAGGTGAAACGGGCTGAGAAGCTGGAGGGGAAGGAGTCTGAAGCTGTGGTAACTGTGATGGTTTTTCCAGGGACGTCACCCCGTCTGGCGATGGGGACGGGTTGGACAGAGCTGGACTGGAGGACACAGGGGACTGGAAACTGAGGGCTCCACCAGAAGACACTGGCGACGAGGAAACTGGCACTGGACTACTTGTACAAGCAGAGGACGGAGACACAGGAGAGCTCAGCTGCGGGGAGTCCAAGTCTCTGCCGTTTTGGGTTGCGAGGGCACTCTGGATGGCATTTTGGACGAGAACTCCTGCGTGGTATTCCAGCTCCTCCTCTGTGGGGCTGCCACCGACCCACCCGTTTACTGGAGTTGTGGGCTGGGGGGTCGGGGGAGAAACTGGGGTAAGTGGTAACGGGGTCGGGGGCAAAGAAGCCCCGCTGTCAGAAACATTATCCAAACTGAACAGAGTCGTGTCCTGGGAGCGGACCGATAACTCGTCTAAACCGGAGTCAGACTCCTCTGGGTGAAACGATGAGTGAAAAGGACCTTTGCTGTCCTCCTCCGGCAAGATCGTCATCACAGCTCGAGCACAAGCAAAATCTGCTGGAAGACCCACATCAGACCAGGTCACGTGAGTCTCTCCAGTTTCTGCTACGACCTCACAGATGCCCAGGCTGCTCTTTGCCACAGGCTTGGAGAAGGGTTTTGCTGAGTATAGCTGCGGAGTTGCATCCTTCTTTGTAACCTCTGCTTGCAGAAATTGCTTCCTGGCTGAGGAGAAATCGATCTGCTCCTCTACAATGTCCTCTTTCTTGGTTATGTCAGGATCAAAGGTCACCATTGTGGGCGCCTCTGACATCTGGTGCTGCAAACACAGATTCAAACATCAAAGAGGAAGTCAGAAAGCAATACCCTCGTCACCTTCGCGAAAGTCTCTAATTGTCTCAAAGCTGTTACCTGTGTGAACGGATAAGGATGGATTTGTTTCTTCTGCTTCCTCTCCTGGTATTTTTTAAGAGACTCGAGCTTCTCTCCATCCAGCTGATCCTCCAAAGGGACCTTGAAAGTAAAAGCAGCCAGTAAATGAATTTGTCAGGAAGTCATCAGAGTTTGAAAAAGGAGCCAGTGGCTGATGGGAGCTCTACCTCCTGTGGAGGGTTCCACCAGCGTTGTGCGATCCCAGGGTTCTTCTTCACTGCCTGGTCTTTGATCAGCTCCTGGCGCTCCCGTTCCAACTCCTGAACCTGATGGTGAAAAACAACCAAGAGGAGAAATCTTTAAATAAGGGGGGATGGGCCTGTGGGCCATTTTGGGGCCCTTGGACAGATTGTGAGTGGCCTGTAACTGCAATTCAAGCAAATGGATATTCTATTTTTTGTTTATTTTATTAATGTGAAAAAATAATAATAACACAAATCTGATTAATTAGAACAATGAAAACAAAAAAGTACCATGAAGAAGCCTCATCAGATTCTACATATTTAATCTATAACAAAATCTACAGTCGCTAAAAAGACCTTGATCAATAAAAAATGATGCAAACAAGCTTTTTCATAGTTACTCATCGACTTTGTCGTAACTATTCTGAAACCGTTCCCATAAGACCTTTAGAAAATGCAGTCTCATCTTTTCTTTGTGTGACTCGGGTTCAGCGCCAGCTTTCAGTTCCAAACGGACCTTTTGGCCTCATGCTTTGCCTATACTGTACATTCTGTAAGTATCAAATAATAACGTGTCTTTAACTTAGCAGTAGGTTAACATCGCCATGTGTCTGACTCAAAACGGTCTTATGTATAGTTTCCTTTTAAAAAAATGTAACGACATGTTCTGGATCTATTTGTTACTCTGGTTATCATACATCTGTTTGATTCACCTCCTCGGAGGGTCGTCTCCTCGTCACCCTGACCTGCTGCTCCTCTCCGGGGGTGAACAGTTTGGCTGGACGCTTTTCCTCGTGAAAAGCTCTCAGCTCAAACTTTGCGGCGTTGCGCCCTGGCTCGTCATCCTGCACATGCCCGTTTGTCCTCACAGCAGACTCCCCCTGGTGAATGAACGTGCTCTGCCTTTGTCCTTCGACAACGACCGATTGGTGATTGGTCGGAAAACAAGCCGACACGCAGACAGAAGGAGCAGCTCCATTGACGCCGATTGGTTTTATGTGCTCTGTTGGGGAAGGGTTTCCATTGGCTGAGGCTGCATCCAACACCTGGTCCAGGTAGCAGATCTCCTGGAAACACAACGCTTCGATGCTTTACTCAAATACATTTAGTTTAAAAAGTGAGGAGAACAATTTTTACAAATAGAAACAATACATGTTGCACCTGCTGCTGAATCCATCTAAAGAGAAGGTTTTTCTTTAAACATAACAACCCCTAAATGAGCAGTGTGAGATGTTTTTCTGGAGCATTTCTTGCCATATTTCTTGAAATGCTTTTCACATACAGATAGCAACCAATAAGTTAAATGTTTTGTCAAAAAAAAATGTTTAATCACCTCTTTAAAGTATAATCTTGAAGGAAAAAAAAACTAATAAAAATCAATGTGAACGTTCCACTCTTAATGACTGGACCATAACCCATCCATCAAACTGACGGTCTATCCCGTTTCACGTAATCCTCTTAGTGCACAAATCGAGCGTTCGTGGCTTGGAGCAGCCAGAAACGGGCTAACTAGTGTAACAGACAGAATGTTGTGTTATGTTTGTAAATTTCATTTAAGGAGTTGTCTTATATGCTCTGTTGAGTCTGGTTCTGTTCTTAGGGAAACGTTTGGGTGATGGAGCTATTGTCTGTGAACACAGCCAATCCTCTGCTGGCTGGCAGAGCTGTTTGTCGGTTTCATTGCCCTTGCAATGTGTGTGTGTGTGTGTGTGTGTGTGTGCGTGTGCGTGTGCGCGCGTGCGCTCGGAGTAGGCACAGCAGAGAGGAGAGCAACTGGATCAGGGCAAGTTCTGGAAATTTTGAGCTGTTGTTCATGAGATTTTTTCAGATTGTTGGTGGCGATGAGCCGCTTTGACTTTTAAGTTATGTATAAATAAAGGAAGCTTAAAATGACCTTGTGTTTCACCACAACAACACCACACTACATGAGTTAGCGTGCTAAGTTGTTGTTCGGCCACATGGGCAAATTATGTTGGCATTTACGGCAAAAAACATGCCAACAATGGGTCGAAAACATATAACTGAACCTTCTAAAACAAGCATTAAACACTTCTGTATTCTGGTGAGGGAAGCCTGGTGGAAAGGAGTTGGATAAAATTGTGTTATTTCAAAAAGTAGCTTGCTTGAACAGCAAGAAAAACATGAGCCTAAGGCAAAATGTATGGATCCATTTTTTTCCTTAAACAAATGATGAGTCACAAAATCTATTAAACACAACAATCTGCCACTTTAAAACATATAAATTACATTTATATATGCAATTTTATATTAAACTTAAACTAAATTCATTATGATAAACTATGTTTTTGTAACTATCCAGGATAGTTTGTCTGATATTGACATTGATAATAAGGGTGACAACAGTGAGACATTAGAAATCAGTACAGGGGGACAATACTTGTTCACAGTCCTAGCACTGTCCAGCCATGTGACTCAACAGTCGTTTAGTAATACTGATCTACATAAAAAACGTTTAGGGTCAGACTGTAAAAAAGATGGCAAGTCATCAAAAAATAATAACAAGACTATCACAGATGATAAAAAAGTGGTAGAAATCACTGTGTGTGTGTGTGTGTGTAAGCATCTGTGCATGACTGTTAGTCCTTTTATCCATAAAATATTCAGGAGCCTGCGTACCTGCACCACCTCACTGTCAGGAGTCTGTGCTGTTTTGCTGCTGTGGCAGCCATGTTGGATCTGCTGGCTCTCCTGCTCCATGATTGCGGGCCCGTCGGAGATAAAGCTGACTGATTCCTGGAAACTGACGCTCTTCAGGGTTCTCTCTCTTGGTGCTTTGTCACTGACATCCTCAACCACCCGCCACGGTGTCTATCAACAAAATAAAAGTGTTTCAGACAGGAGGATCAATGTAAATATCAGCTTTTTAAAACCCTAGGAAAACAGAAACATGCAGATACACAAATCTTCCATTCTGCACTGCAGCAGCAGCTGTTTTCTGCAGTACCACGGTGCTGTAACTGCCTTCTACCACTAGAGGAAACCAAATCCCAAGCAGCTGCTTTATGGTTCTGAAACTGTAGCACATGCATCACTGGCACCATTGTTAGTGAAAACTTAGAAAACACGTGGAAAAGAAATTCTATTTAAGAGTTCAGTGAGGTTTAAATAAACAGCGGAATGTGTCACAGCATTTTCTGTGAGTTGTAATGGCATTACATGGAAAGCTAATTGATTTCTGAGGTGGTTTGTGTTTTAAAATGTGTAAAAAGTTGGAGAAAAACTGTTTTATAGAGCTTATGTGTAGCCACACATCACATATGTTAGGGGGAAGCTTGCATGTGACACTGCTATAATGGGGAAAACTAAGTATATTTTTAATCAGAAAGCACTTTATATATTATACAATACGATGCTACTGCCATATTTGAGCTATTGTGTAGAGGTCTGGGGAAATACGTACATAAGTAATTAACAAACAGTAACGACAATGCAGAAAAAGGCTATCAGACTAATAACAAAAGCAGGATATTGGGATCACACAAATGAACTTTTTATTAAAACACAGACAATGAAGTTCCAGGACTTGGTTAAACACAAAACAGCACAAATAGTATATAAAGTAAGAAATACATTAATACCTGATAAAATACAGAAACTGTTCACAGAGAGAGAAGGAGAATACAACTTGAGAGGGATACTAATTTAAAGATACATAATGTTAGAACAACATTAAAAAGTATGTGTATCACAATACAAGGGCTTAAATTATGGAACAGTTTAGAAGAAGAAATTAAAGTAAGTACAAATATAAACCTGTTTAAGATGAATTATGAAAAACATATTCTAAATAAGTTTAGAGAGGAAAATAGATGATTTATGTGTTTGTCCTTTATTCTAAAGAAAGATAAGTTTGAGTATGAATTGTAAAAAGATGTTTTTTTTTCTTTATTTTTTCCCATATGGTTTGGTTGTTTGGGTGATTTGTATTATTTGTTGTTTTAATGTGGTTTTGTGTAACATTTAGTATAGTTAGTAATACTAAGTATAAGTAAAGAATGATATGTATAAAAGGGGTAGGGACACATACGTTTGGACTTCAGCCTACTCCTTTTCAGACACAGAAGAAGAAAAAAAAAGGATGATGATTTTATGTATTTTTTCAGTTTTTTAATTAACTATGTTTTCTTTGTTTGAAATAAAAATAAACTAACTAACTAACTTTCAAAGCTGTTATAATTAATAGTTCAGAAACATGTCTGAAACTTAGATGGCAGAAAATATTTCCACATTTTGCTGATGATGGTAAAAGGAATATTTTAAAGACGTTGCAGCTCAGTGTGGGTACTATTCACGTTTTAATTGTTGTGTTTAAGATTGAATCCAGATAACCTGAAGTGTTTCATGAAAAAGTATGATTTGACCTAAAACATCCCAGGCGGCTTACTCATCATCATCTCATCTCTTCATGGCTTCTAGATGGGACTGGTGCAACACGCCGAACTGAAATATAACCCTTCAAAGGAAAACTTTCACCTTAATCTCTGCAGTAAAAAATCAACCACATATCCATTACAGCCGATATTTATCCAGGACAGAAATGCACACAGTTCATCATGTGAGGATCTGACCGCTGACCTTCTGGTTCAGTAAACCATCCATTCCACACATTCCAGACACGCTGTTAGCGAGCAGCTACGTTTACACACTCCTGTCTTCATGACCGCCCCCCGCTTTTGTCGGCATGTTGATTCTGCCTTAAACTCCTCTTCTGTAAGGATGCATCCACCTCTATCTTTCTAACCTTTGAGATTTAATGAGGATCACGGCACTTTAGTCAGAAAAAGGAAGTCCTTTTTGTTCCTCTTACAGAATGAATGGCAGAAGAATAAATCTGGGCCATTTCTCTTACACAGCCCCCCCCCCCCCCCCACACACACACACACACACACACCAAATCCTCTCACTTTGGTGCACTTTTTGGATCTTTTCCTTTCTCTCTCCTCTCCCAGATTGTTCTGAAGTAGTAGTCAGAGGAGTCACATGGAGGATTATGTTTTAAAAAAGCCTTTTATTCTGTCTCACACTGAGCAGCTATTTCCTCTACACGTTGGTGCCGTCTCCTTTGAGGGAAAAAAAAAGTTCTGAGGGCATTTTGCTGACCCATTTGGCAAAGTCACGAGTTCAATTTGATCTATTTCTCTTGAAAACTCAATAAACAAAAGTGAACACAATTATCTTCAGTAATGTATTCCTTTTGCTTGTTGTGTTTTAATCATGAATCAGAACTACTGTGTTTGAGTGAATGCTGCGGTTCCTAGCCATCATGAGATGCCCTTCATAAAAGATTACCGTAAACTGAATTGGCACCCTTTCTTTAATTCTAATCTCAACTTTCTAAAACTAAGCTTATTGAACAATTTGGAAGAAATTAATAAAAATGGAAGTAAAATGTAAAATATTCCACTTCGTCTTAGGCTTTGCAGATGCCCCTGTCTCCTGGGTGGCTGCATATGAAGGCCAGTGTTATTTGTTTAGCACAGCGGACGCTCATTTGAATAAAATTGAGGTTTTTTGCTCCAGCAGGCCCACTACATGCCTTTGACTCATCCTACATGCCTTATGTTTAGGCTTATTATGAAGAACTGTCCCAAGAATGTTTATTTCCACGTCTTGTGTCTCTGACATGAACCGGCATGCACCTCAGGGCTGTAACTTTGTTTTTAAATAAATAAATAAATCTAAACGTGACCAGCTGCTAGCGGGTCATTACTGGTGAGGCAGAAGCCTTCCGATTCAGATCTAGTCGAGCAAATTTCAGCATCTTTATGTGATTTGTACAAAGGATCATTCCTAATCTTTCTCCCTGGATGACAGAAAACATGATAGTAAAAGGTCTCTGGTTCACATCCCAGTCAGAGCTGCGTGTTAACTACATTAATCCCAGAGACAGGGTCCAGTAATCCTGACCATTTGCAGATGTAACAGGTAATGGTCATGTACGGGAAGCATGTCTGCATTTGACATATTTTGCATTTTAAAATGATAACCAATGTTGTATAATCACATTATCTTTGATACTCTTTAGGTGTTGATTTCACTTTCTGGGGTTTTCAGAAACCCTCATTTTTCTGTGACGATGGTTTACATAAACAGTGCATTTGAGTTTAAAACAATAGTTTAATTTATTTGTCCCATAAAAGTGAATGATAGTGCAATAATCAGTTTCAGTTGAAGTCCTTTTTAATTCTTTAAATGGTAATAAAGACGTGAGGATGTCTGAATAAAAAGTTCAACATTTCCACCTTAATATTATTACCTGAATTATTCTTACTTTTACGACCCATGCTGCCTTGAATAATAAAAAAAATGCTAAACTAAAATAAATGATATTAGCTCCTGGTGTGAAAATGTAAAGGTTGCACCACATTTCAAAAATTCCAAGCACCGAATTGCTCTTAATAAAAAAAAAAAACGATAAAGGAATGTCTGGTTTTGGGACCACGCTGGTCCCATTCACGCTGAACGTGACCATATTATTATTTAGATATTTGTCCATTCCTGTATGTTTTTATTACTATCCACTGATCTGTTTCCTGTCTGCACTTGGACTTGTTTGAAGGTGCAGGAAGAGGAGGCTGAAGCCTCTTACATAAGACCAGAACAGACACAGACATATTTTTCACTCCTCTTTTGTTCTTCTGCAAAAACAAATGCACACCTTTGGAAAAACATTTACTAAAAGTTGGATTAAAATAAATGATCTGGGATCAATTAAAAGACAAACTTAATTCCATGTTCTGCCTCTACTGAACTAACTTGTGTGACCGTTTCCTTCGACACTCTGTTTTCCTCTACACTCTCGCTTTGTTCCACTCAGCAGGTCAAATGGTTTTTTATTCTATTAGTGACCATGTCAGGACCAGATGTCGCTTCTATTTCAACACTCACACATGATGTGTCTACGCTTCTCATTCCCCCTCATGTGTGACACATGTATGTTTGTTCACACACTGGAATGTGTGTGTGTGTGTGTGGGAGTGTGTGTGTGTGTGTGTGTGTCCAGTGGACAGTACAGAGGGGGAGGATATCCTGTTACTGCCTCAGGAAAACATAACTACAGTACAGGAATGTCTCATATTCAACACTGTTCTACACACACACACACACACACACACACACACACACACACACACACACACACACACACACACACACACACACACACACACACACACACACACACACACTTAAACGTGTGTACTTTTTATCAGGTGTGTAGGTTTTTGACTCTTGCTGAGGTGGACTCACATTCCGGGCATAGCTAGCCGTCCTCAAGTCTCACACTCTGATTCTGGTCATGTAGAACACTTTTAACCCAGTTTGGTTCAGCTGAAACAACGAAAAGGTATTTTTGAGGGAGTGAAAGTGTGAAAATAAAAGTAAAACTCATCCTCTAACACTCTCCCAGGGGTCTAAGGGTTGTTTTTGCTATTAAAAGAGGTGGGAAAGAGTCATACCAAGTGTATTAGTCAATCACGAGTCTCTCCCAATCAGCTGGTTGTCCCAGAGCTCTAAATGTTTTCTCATCCGCCTGTCTCCATCCATCACATCTGGAACAGCTTAAGTTCAGATCATTACGCGCCAAAGTGACATACACACAAACACAAAGGCCAAGCCTGCGACACAGAAACGAGGGCTGTGCCCCCAAAACCATGTCTGAATTCATCCTGATCGGAAGTAAAACCACAATATCTATAATTCATTGTGGGATTTCTTTGTAAGAGTGCATTAAATGTCTCTATAAACGCACATTACAACCTCCTATGTAACCCTGTACAGTGAGTGTTACAAATACGATCCTGTACGGT